TAATCTGAAAGTATATACACAACACTTCTAACATAGCAGGTCTTTTTTCTTTGTTTTTGATTTATCATTACATGTAGTATGAAAAGCTCGTGTAACCATATTCTACTGAAAACTGGAACAGAGAATTATGAATATTGTATGCAGGGTTATTTTCACCCCGCTTTACTATTGCCATTTCATAATTGCGAACAATTTTTTCCCATCTTTAATTCGCCCATTCACATTTTTGTTTAGAAAATCATACTCTATTCTTTGAATTTGCCGTTTTAATTCGCTCAACCGAGGTATGGGCAAAAAGAGCTAAAATAAATAAAGGCGAAATTCTCCTAAAATACAATAAATTGCTCTCATTTGTTATTCTACTGACCTTTGACCCTTTAGGCCCGCCCAGTTGATCCTTGTCATTCAGCCCCCAGCAGAATATGTTTGTCTGAATTTCCTTTGTTGTGGATTTCTTCTTCTTTTTGACAGATGAACTATTGACCTTTTCCTCTTCTTCCTCCTCTCTGTCTGAGGCCAGGAACGAAAAGTTAGCGGCGGCATCATCCTCATCTGAGCGTAACCTCCCTAGAATCGTCGGACCGTGAACTTTACAGTCGATACCACTCTGCGACATTGTTTGATGCCAATCTCAATGAAGTGAAAGTACAGTAGAACCCCGTTATTACGATGTTCACTTTGTCACGGTAAAATATCGTAATACCGAGGGCAACGTAATAAAAGTTTCCAATAAAATCCAGTAAAACATCGTTTGGAAAACGTGTTATTGTATTAGGGGGTGTATTTTTCTCCTTCTATCTCCTTTTTATGCTCAAATTCTGCTATATACACTTAATTCATTGATTACTTATCTTTAAAACTTATTTTCATGATGCTATTTCTTCTTTTTCCATCATAGTAAAAGCATAGAGCACATTTTTTAATAGAAACTTCGACAGTCTTCTTTTAATTGCCGCCATTTTCGATAACATGTACTTTCACTTTCGTTTCTATCCAGATAATGCGTTCGTGAAAATTTCAATGTGTTTGTAAGAAATTCAATATCTTTGTATTTTATTTAAAGTCATTTCTAAATAAACAGCAACATTTTTTTTATTCAAATAAGAAAGTCAAAGTAAATAGACAAGCAATCTGTCAAAATAATTTTTTTTTAAATTACTGAACAGAGTTCAATTAGCAGTTCAGCAATTATCGATTTGTATTTCTGCTGACAACTGAGAGGTAGTCCAAGCCACTACCCAAGCTGTTAAAATGTTTGTAGTGGAGTTCAAATTTTGTTTGATACCCAAGCTGTTAATTCATGCAGTTTATTTGCACACGAAATTACACAATATGTGTACCTGTGTACAGCATACATGCATAATATTAAATATACCCTTTTATTTATCAAATTAAATTTATTAAACTAAGTATAAAATAAAGAATAAAAGAATTTTAAAAAAATACAGAGATAGATAAAGAACAAACTAGATTTATGAGTAAACTTTAATTGTTTAACAATGGCTTTGGCACGTCTCCAAATCTGCTGGGCTCGCTGGAACAGTCCAGGTGGGTGCAATCAAGCGTTACTAATCACCTAACTGCCCTGTAAGTTAACACTCTCTCAGAGCACGGGTGTTCCAATGTTTATTTAGCGTCTCCTTAAGTGTCTACCAGCAATCAATACTGAATAAACACGGAGTGAAAAAAATTTTGACATAATTTTTACATCGTAATACCGAGACCTGGCGTTTTTGGACAACGTAATAAACGGTTCTTTTTTGTATAGATTTGTTAAGAAATGGTTTTGTGCTTTGAATTTACAACGTAATAAGCGTTCTATCTTATAAAACCGTCACCGTAATAGCGGGTCTCTACTGTACTGCAAAGGAGAGAAATATCATAACATTAACAGAATAAGTAAACAGGTTTAGTTATCCCAAAATATTGTTTTTATCCATTCTTGTACTCTACATGCTCTACTTGATCTACAGAGTCCCATTAAAAAACAATCAGTTTCACCAGTCAGTTAACATTTAAAATAAACTAGAAATATGTCCATAGGACATGAATGCCCCACCAAGGATATATAAGTAAAGCAACATGAAAATTTGTATGTGTATGACATTTGATCAGTTTGGTTCAGGTAGGGCTTATAGTTACTTGGGAATAAAAATGTAAGTCAGATCCAGCATCCAAAGCAAGTCAGGTAGTGACTGTGTCCATCCCTAGATACATCATCCATGCAAGTTTGGTTCAGGTAGGGCTTATAGTTACTTGGGAATGAAAATATAGGTCAGATCCAGCATCCGAAGCAAGTCTGGTAGTGTCCATCCCTAGATGCATCATCCATGCAAGTTTGGTAAAGGCAGGGCTTATAGTTACTTGGGAATGAAAATATAGGTCAGATCCAGCATCCAAAGCAAATTTGGTAGTGTCCATCCCTAGATGCATCATCCATGCAAGTTTGGTTAAGGCAGGGCTTATAGTTACTTGGGAATAAAAATGTAGGTCAGATCCAGCATCCAAAGCAAGTCTGGTAGTGTCCATCATTAGATGCATCATCCATGGAAGTTTGGTTCAGGTAGGACCTATGGTTACTTTGGAATTAAAATATAGGTCAGATCCAGCATCAGAAGCAGGTCTGGTAGTGTCCATCTCTAGATGCATCATCCATGCAAGTTTGGTTCAGGCAGGGCTTATAGTTACTTGGGAATGAAAATGTAGGTCAGATCCAGCATCTGAGGCAAGTCTGGTAGTGTCCATCCCTAGATGCATCATCAATGCAAGTCTGGTCCAAGTAGGGCTTATAGTTCCTTAGTAATGGACCTGTTCCAAAAACTTTAACCTGGTCACTCATCTGGAAAATGTAGGTAGATCCAGCATCCGAAGAAAGACCGGTAGTGTTCATCCCTAGATGCATCATTCCTGAAAATTTGGTTTGGGTAGGGCTTATAGTTCCTTGGAAATGGACTTTTTCCAAAAACTTTAACCTGATCACTCATCTGGAAAATGTAGGTCAGATCCAGCATCCGAAGCAATTCTGGTAGTGTCCATCTTAAGATGCATCATCCATGCAAGTTTGGTCTAAGTAGGGTTTATAGTTCCTTGGGAATGGACCTGCTCCAAAAACTTTAACCTGGTCACTCACCTGGAAAATGCAGGTCAGATCCAGCATCCGAAGCAAGTCTGGTAGTGTACATCCCTAGATGCATCATCCGTGCAAGTTTGTATCAACATGTGAAGTTTGATAACACCATCTTGAATGGTATGTTTAAAACTGAGCAAAACACTAATTTAAGACAAGAGATGTTTGTAAAACACTTATGCCCCCCTCCCCCACAAATTGGAATTTTTCTAAGTCCAAAAGGGCATAACTCTGTCAATTATGGTGCGATTGTACCCAAAACACAACTTGACCAAGATATTCATCTGAATAATCTGTATATAAAATTCCATTTCAATATGTGCAACCTCTCCAAAGAAAATGAACGGAAACTGCAAATAATAAAATAAAGCAACATGAAAATTTGTATGTGTATAACATTTGATCAGTTTGGTTCAGTTAGGAATTATAGTTACTTGGGAATAAAAATGTAGGTCAGATCCAGCATCCAAAGCAAGTTTGGTAGTGTCTATCCCTAGATGCATCATCCATGCAAGTTTGGTTAAGGCAGGGCTTATAGTTACTTGGGAATGAAAATATAGGTCAGATCCAGCATCCAAAGCAAGTCTGGTAGTGTCCATCCCTAGATGCATCATCCATGGAAGTTTGGTTCAGGTAGGGCCTATGGTTACTTTGGAATTAAAATAGAGGTCAGTGAGTTCCAGTGTCCGAAGCAGGTCTGGTAGTGTCCATCTCTAGATGCATCATCCATGCAAGTTTGGTTCAGGCAGGGCGTATAGTTACTTGGGAATAAAAATGTAGGTCAGATCCAGCATCTGAAGCAAGTCTGGTAGTGTCCATCCCTAGATGCATCATCAATGCAAGTTTGGTCCAAGTAGGGCTAATAGTTCCTTAGTAATGGACCTGTTCCAAAAACTTTAACCTGGTCACTCATCTGGAAAATATAGGTAGATCCAGCATCCGAAGAAAGTCTGGTAGTGTTCATCCCTAGATGCATCATTCCTGAGGTCAAGGTCAAATGAAAGGTCAAGGTCAAAAAATGTTGATGCAGTTGCATAGCTCTCATCAATATCTATCAGCATATGAAGTTTGATGAAAATATCTTGGATAGTTTCTTTGAAACTTAGCTTTGAACAGAGCTAAACACAAAGTGTGACGGAAGGACGAAAAGACGGAAGACGGACATGACAAACACTATATGCCCCGGCCATATTCATGGCGAGGCATAAAAAAAGTTTGGAATGTTGTATATACCCTTGAAATTTATTTTTTTAATCATAATTGAATCTAAGACTCACGTCATTAAGGTCCTGTAGAAGCGTAACAATAGACTCAGATGATGTGATATTGACTGCACGGATTTCTCTCATGGAGTGTAATGTATCTCCTGCACTGATCACCACCAAATTTGGCATGTAGCTGGAGTCAGAAGGCTCCACTTTCATGTAGAGTCGATGTAAAAGGATATCTGGCTGCATTTCAAGTCGGATCCAGTGCTATAACACATAGGAAACAAAACATACACCTATCTGTACATATATTTCATTTTAATCCCTAATTAGTTTCATAATTATTTGGTAAATGAATGTGAAATTTATTCAACTTTGTTGGTTTTCTTCAGTTGAAATCATTGTCTTTGACAAAACAGTGCAACAACCTCAGCATAATGCTCACTTTTCTCACACCCTTAACTTTATAACTTCACCCAAATTCTGTAGATAGACATTGTTTCCCTAATCTAATGAGACTAATCTAATCCTTTACTTCTCAACTTGCCATGTGACCTGAACATGACCCCCTAATTTCTCACTTTGCCCTGTAACCCTGAACTCTGCCAGTAGCCATTGTTTCCATTGATGAGTCGGCGAGCCTGGTTTTCTCGAGATGACACAGTGATGGCCTTGACACAGGTGTGCCAGTCATCAATGGTGGATCTGGAGGACATGACCCCAAACTTCCTCCTCTGTTTGCCTGCTTTACCAGCAAAAGATGGCTCACAATCTACAAAGAAAACAATTCAGAAAATTAATATCAAGTTTTGATAATACCTGTCCAGCTCTCATGACAAACTCTGCTACCTTTATTTGTTGTTAACCCTAAATTAAATTTGATTTCAGTTTGACTCAAAATACATTTCAAAGATTGTTACCTGGTTCAGATATTTTGATGAAGACATGACTGTGTTTGTGCTTCTTGATTCTGAAGCAGTTTTCACACATGTCATAACTGGGACAATTCTGACACTTGTATCTTGAGCCCACAATGGGGAACAGTTCACATTCATCACACCTAAAAAGAGGGACAATTCCAATGAAATTATGCAGCATTTCAAAATCAGTGGAAAAAAATTGATCTTTGGCACAGAACATAACTCTGGAGTTCAATTTTATATTTCGTTTTATTTTTTTTAAACAGAATTTTGAAATTAAATCCAAATTTGAAAAGTTAAGATAAATGTATTTTACCCCACTCCAGGATTTGATCTTGGCACAATTTTCATTTCATCAATAACCCCTGTCCAGTGAGATTCCTGGGGAAAGTCTACTGTTAGATCTCTACCATTGGCATTGATGGCTGAAATAAATAATTTATAGTTAATCAAGTAGAAGGAATTTATTTCAAGGGGTGGGTGTTTCCAAGTCATTATTAATGCATAAAAAAATTTCAAAATTCAAGGGGAAGAGGGCATGGGTGTGATTTTTTAAATCAATTTTTACTCCAACATATGTATAATGTAGGTTTCTGTTAACTATAATTTTAATTAAATAAAGACATAAAAATATGAACACAGTATACTTGAAATAATGTTGCAATAGGCTAAATGAGCATGTCATGTCCATATAAAAGTGCTGAAATCCAAGAAAATAAAATATTAAAATACCTGTAACTGTTCCAATGCAGTTATGAGACACGGACCCCCATTTGTAGGTGGGTGTGACCACATTAGGTTTGACGTGAACCTCGTCTCCCACTGAGATTTTCTGAGTGGACCCGTTCTCGTTTCCCATGAATCCCAGAATCTCCACATGGATATATCGGACCCAGTATGGAAGTTTAACTCCAAGGTCAAGGTCAAAGGGTCACAATTGAAAGACCTTGTCACAGCGAATACACCTGTGAGATATGAAAGCCACAGAAATCAACATTTAAAAGGTATAGCCAAGGTTAGAGTTTTTCAAAGGTGGTACAACTCCAATTTCAAAGTCAAAGGGCTAAATTGTCAAATCTCAACAAGGATTACACTTATGTTATATGATAGGCCTAAGATAAACCATTCAAAACATATCGCTAAGGTGAAAGTTTGATAAAAGTTTGTCAGAGGTCAAGGTGAAAAGTTATGTCACAAGGAATACATATGTAAAATATGAAATCCATAGCGCTAACGAGTGTCAAGTTATTGGAATTTAGGTGTAAGATTTAAAGACAGACAGCTGTTCTAGAGCAAAAACAGTAAGCCCCCCTATCTTTGATTAATTGGGAAATAAAATAGACACATACAATTTTGTTTTCACATTTTTTATTTGAAAAAATCAAAGCATAAGGACTCTTGTACATTTAATAACAATTTATAATTAAAAACAAATACATGATTCATAACAAAACTCAAACACACAGCATAAATAATATACAGAGTTTTGACAAACTTTATCATAACTTTTCACATTACATTTCACTAGGTGCTAAATAATGTACTGCTGTACCATGTACTGTGATTGGAAAGAGTTTTCTATCATGGTTTCTAAATGCAAACAATCTGCTCAAAATTAACTTACATGACATAAATTTTATTTTATTTGTCGTCTTTCAAAGTTTTAAAACTCTCATTTTGTATGAAAGTAATGGTATAGGTGTCAATTTTAAGAATTAAAAAGCATTTAAGCCATTACTAAACTACCTTTCTCAAATTCTCCATTCAGACATATAAGCAGTCACCCAAAAAAGAAACAATTCTGTTTTTATCACGGCAATAAAGTTGTACTGAAATTTATTTATTCAAAGAATTGTAATAACTAAATGAAATTACAACTATAGTAAATATTATGAAATAATCAACTTGTGTTTCTAGTTATAGATACATGTATCAGTAATAAGATTTCTGAAGCAATGAAAATTGCTAAAATTACAATGTCTCTTACAGAGACGGCAATATACATTAACCACAGTCAATCGCCTCGTAAAATATCAGTATTTACATAGCATCAAATATTAATGCAATAAAACAATTCCAAACACAGAATTAAGACTGATTTATAAACTACTACACTACAATACTGAAAACAAAAACTAGCAACATATCACTGCAAAAAAATGTTTTTCACCACATTTTCATGTGCAAAAAAATGTTTTTCACCACATTTTCATGGTGTTCATGCAAGTTCTTGTTCTTAAAATTGACTACTTCAAGGAATAATGAAGATTGATGCTCTATCAGCAATAAATATACTAACTAGGACTTTTTATTTGATAAGACTTTGGTTTATCTATTACCTAGAAATATTTACAATATAAATCTTTTGCTATTTATACAAAAGTTGAATGCTTCATTATCAATATTTACAGAAATATGACTTGTGCGTGTAAAAAAAAAATCCTACCAGTAATTTAATACCAACACTGGGACACTCTATTTATACTACAATGTAATTGTCAATGCAATAAAAATATGAATTTTATCTTCAAAAAAGTAAAGGAGAAAAAAATCTTTTTAATACTTATAAATATATATAATTAAATTAAAGTGAAAATATTAGCTACCACTTACATCATGCTGTTAAAAGTAAAGCAATGGAAATTAAGTAAAAAATCAATATAATTTGGCTATGGCTTTGAAAAAACTTAAAACAGACATACATATCTTTCCATTTGACAATAAATTCATATGCCTAACAGATTATTAGTTGTTGTCCTTAATAACAATAATTTTGTTCATATTTTAATGTTATTCTTTTCAAGCAAGTGTATGTCCAACTATCTTTATTTATAACAAAGTTAATAAAAACATTGCAAGACTGTTCTATATGTAGACTAGAAAGCATCACTGAAGTTCAGACCAAACTGGAATCGGAATCCACGATTTCCCCGTCGGACTCCATACTATAAATATCCTCCGAGTCATCGCTGGCCTCCGGGGTATCGTCGACAAGGATTTCCCCCGTGAGAGCCACCCGAGCGTAGTCGTCGGTGTCTATGGAGCGACAGAAGTGTATGGCGTATTTGAGCTTCTCCAGTAACACGGGTTTACAGGAATAACGTGGCATCTTGAGCAGGAAGAAACAGGTGTAGCTTTCTGGCAGGAAGTGATCCGGTGGGTTATATTTATCCAACACCTGTGGAAAATAAGCCAATCATAACTAAACTGTATCATCTTCTTCGGTTAAATTCACTTTTACTTCATTCATTTTTAACATCTAATATACACTGTACTTATACAATGAAGAATTGGAAATAAGTCATTCATGAATAAAATAAACAAAAGTGACTCTTCATGTATTAATTCTTCAAAATATGTAGTCAAACCTCATTATCTTGAAGTTGGTAAAAAATTTTCTACTATTCTAGATTTTGACATTAAAATTCAACAAATCTGGGAGCCAATGCTCACTAGTAATACCCCTGCTCTGATGTGAACATACACTATCATGTTTATATACACAAGTTCAGTGATCTGCAGATGCATGTATAAACAGGAAGTTGACATGGGATTTGAACAAAAATGAATCCCATCATATGGCATGCCTCAGAAAAGATTGTTTAAAAATTTCAAGCATCTGTGAGGAGTAGTTGCTGAGAAAACTGCGATGAAAATTTGTTACAGACAGACACACAGACAGACACACAAAGGTGAAACGGTATACCCCTCTCTCTTTCATAACGGGGATATAATAATTAAGGAAACAATTGAGACTTTCAACTGACTTTAGAGGTATACATGGTTTTTAATATATAATAACAGTTCAACTGCATAATTATGTAGGTAATAACAAACAGTTACAATTATGTGGAATATATCATTCCTCTTATCCCATTTTTACAGTAATCTGTCTCTAATAAAACTGACCTGCAGGACAAAGTCTCTCCCCCTGAAGTCTGCGATGGACCTGGGGAGGCGGGTCCTGCCCCACACAAACCTCAGGAACAGGGACCGCTCATTGTTAAACAGCTCCTCCATCACCTCCCAGAACCAGGTCACCAGGGGGGCGTTAGCGTCCACACCTTTATAGGTGGCCACCGACTTCAGTAAGTACAGAGGTATGTCTGGACTACCACACACCTACAATAGGGAAATTCATTTAGTAAAACCTCAGCAAAATACTGTGAAATCATCATTTTTGGGAATGGGGATATTTTTGTTGTTTTCCCGTGGTTAATAGACTCATGATTTCATGTCCTTCACAAAATGGTGAAATTTTAAACAATTCTATTATGTTTGTCTACCATACTTCTTCAATCAAAATATCAAAAATTTTCCATAAAATCTCAAAATTTAATCCCGTGAAAACAAGTGATTTTACAGTTTATAAAAATTTACCTTCTTATAACTCTTATTCTTGCATCTTGACAAATTTTGACACTCATGAGAATCAATGCATTTTTATTGAAATCAAGGAAAATTTTGTTTTAAATAAAAAAATCTGAATGAATGTGATTAAGGATTTCAGTTACCATGGTTTCCAGTTCCAGTCCAGTGAACAATGACAGGAGAGGTACTGGGATGACCTTTGACATGCCCTCCCTGACCCACCTGACCTGGTCATCAAACTCATGCAATCTGTAAAGATGATTAATGGTTATAAGCAACTTATTCGTTTTTACCCTGGATTCTAGTGACTAAAATATCCAACTCTGCATGTTGTTTAGAAATCCAATAATGGCCAACCCAGGTATCACAAAAATTTCCACACACTCTTTGAGTGTACTTAGAGTATACAGTAAAAGTCGTTAAGTACGAGCAAGGCTATTGCCAATTTATGGATTTAGTGGTTATCTTGGATCCCCAGCAAAAAATTTAACGAATTCCTTATGTGGATATAACTAATTATGGATAGAGCAAAGTACAATGTAATTTCAGAGGTCCCACCGATTTTGTTATAACCGAGTTTTACTGTAGCAAAGTGCAGCAATCCCTTTTTGGGGACCTAAGAGCTGTTTACCAAACTTCAACTACATACAGTCTCATTACTATAGTTACATCCCCTTCAAATCCTTTACAAAGGGATATCACGATTCCAAGAAATCCTCTTTATTTTTCTTAATACCGTATAGCAGGTTTTCTTGGCGGGTGTAAAATTTGGCGTTTTGCCTGCTCAAAGGTATACCAATAATTTTGGCGTAATTTATTTTAGTGGACACAGAGTTTCAGCTCTTTGCAGATAAACTCTAAGAAGAGTACTTACTATTTTAGCGATTAAAATTTTAGCGAGTTACCATCAAAACACCAAAATAAGCCATAATTAGCACCCCACTAAAATAACCCGCTATACAGTGTAACAAAGCGCAATATCAATGCAGATTTAAACTAGTGGGTATTGTTTTTTTAACAAAAAACACATGTCTCCCCTTCTTTAACAACATTAACAAATGCAGTTTTACTATGAAGGTGAAAAAGAATAATGCAGTGCATCTTTCAAGTCTTTTATAGGATCTAAAGTTATTGTCTGGTCTTGCTTTTTTCTTAATTTAATCTTAAAAGAAGAAAATGGTCAAGGTAAAAAAAAATTGATGTAGTGTATTTAGGCTTATAGTTGTCTTTACTTGTTCCAAATAACAATCCTTATGTTAAGAAAGGTATCAAATTATCAATTCAAATATATTTCATATGAACATTTGACCTTGACCTAATAATAATTGGATCAAGGTCAAAAATTTTCATCACATAATCTCTCCATCTAAGTGTCCTCTGCATGTTACAAGTTTGAAGTCTAAATGTCAAAAGATTCTCAAGTTATGTTCAAAACATGGTTTTTTTTTCTCTATTTGACCTTGGGTCAAGGTCAAAGTCCTTGTGCACTAGATCTTGTATTTAATGTCTTCTTTCTATGTTACATGTTTGAAGTCCTAATATCAAAGGGTACTCAAGCTATGACCTAAACTCTATTAATATGTGAAAATTTGACCTTGACCTAAAAATATTGGATCAAGGTCATAAAATATGATCACATAAACTTTCTCCAATGTGTCCTCTGCATGTTCCCAGTTTGAAGTCTAAATCTCAAAGATATCTCAAGTAGTGGTCAAATCATGTTTTCCTATATTTGACCTTGAACAAAAAAAGGGTCAAGGTCAAAGTTCTTGTGCACTGCATCATGTATTTAATGTCTCCCTTCTATGTTTTAAGTTTGAAGTCCTAATATCAAATGGTATTCAAGCTATGGCCTAAACTCTATTTTGTTGTGAAAGTTTGACCTTGACCCTATAAACATTGGATCAAGGTCAAAAATTTTGATCACATACACCCTTCTCCTATGTGTCTTCTGCATATTCCAAGTTTGAAGTCTAAATGTATAAGGTATCTAAAGTTATGTTAAAATCATGTTTTTTCTCTATTTGACCTTGAACATAGAAAGGGGTCAAGGTCAAAGTTTAGATGCACTACATCTTGTATTTAATGTCTTCTTTCTATATTTCAAGTTTGAAGTCCTAATATTAAAGGGTATTCATGCTATTGTCAAAACTCTATTTGAATGTAAAAGTTTGACCTTGACCTTATATATAGATCAAGGTCAAAAATTTTGGTGGCAGACACTCCGCCTCGAGGTCATCCATCTAAGTTCCAAGTATGAAGTCTTCAGGTCAAAGGGTATTCAAGTTACGGCCTGGACAAAATTTGGATGAAGAAGAATAAAAATAAGAAGAATAAGAACTAGTGCTAATTGTAACGGGGACCGTTACAGATGTTCCCCAAACGCTCCCCATGTCCCTTATCGTGCCTTATTCCTCTAAGACCTTTTATAAATATGCTAAGTATCCCAAGATTTCATTTAAGAATATAAAAGTTACAATGATATCAACTATCAACGATATATTGTTTAACGTTTTGCATGCGCGCACACGTACATGTAAATGCATATGCAAGATGGCATGTTGATTAAGTGATTAACATATCTTTCTATCCCGCAAATCAAAGAAAAAAATACATACATAAATTTACCATTTCTCAAGCATATGTCATATTTTTAATATATCGATTCACATTTGATTTCTCTACTTATTTAAACCTCGGGCTCAAAGTTGGTTTTATTCCGACGACAAGGCAGGGTTAAAGTCGACTAAGGGTATCACACCAATACCTAACCAATCAAAATGAACTTATTCAATAGTAGTTCCATACATGGAAAAGGGATTTTCCTTTCTGTTCAGAATTTTTTTAATATTTCCTCTCAGGCCATTTTGACAACTCTGATACCTGTGCCTGGTAAATTTTATATACTCTGTAAATAAATATATAAAGGTTTTTTGACCGCAACTATTCATTTTTTCCAATGCATAGGGGGCTACTCTCTGGGTTTTACAAGAGATGTTTAAAAAGACATTCGTGTCAGCTAATGTGACCTATATTGTTTAACACCTTCTTATTAATATTTTTTTCATGAATGCAAATATCTGATTATTTTACGAAGGAGCGTACGTGTATATTGATTTTTTAATATACCTAAAATCGCTATTTCTGGGGATTGCGTAATTCTAAAAAAAAATTCAAATAAATTTCAAAGGTAAATTAAACAAAGGATGCTTGGTATTAAAATATTATTTCAAATCAGTAGAATCGAATGCTATTAACGACATCTGAATAAATAGGCTATAAAAGGCTTATATGCCAACTTTGGTCATCTGCACTTTAATTTTAAACACGACAGGATTTGTAATTTTTTCTGTATAAATTAATAATTTCTATATACTTTGGAAACTCAAATGAAATATTTTAATACACTTTCCTCGAGCTCTTTTCTGCAGTTTTCCTGAAATTTTATGTGGGTCCGAGGTGTTATTTGAGTTTAACAGTGATTCTCTACGTTGCCATTAATTTGATTTATTCTTAACCTATTTAACGTTGGAGTTGAATCTTGTATCTTATTCCAAGAACTTAAGATTGATTGTGACATTTGGATGAAAGGTCAAGGTCATTAAAAACCACCACCTCTTTAACTTCTAACCTGTCAACTGAAATAAACTCTGAAAGGTGTTTCTAGATACATGTACATGTACTTCATGTTTCTTTTTACCCTTGGGTCAAGAACAAAGGTTAAGGTCGATTTCAAGTTCATAGGTCAAGGTGATTTTGGTAAATAATTAATATCAACATTTTATTCAGGTTACCAGTGACCTTGACCTAAGTTTCAAGGTCAAGGGTAAAAAGATCTGCATGCTTCAGCATGTTACATGTCTTGACATTTAGAAGTTCTTAATTCTGCATGAACATCAAACACTCAAGTATACTGTCTTTTAATACATTGTGTGCGGTGGCATGTGCATGCACGTCCATGTATTTACTTTTGATAGTAGTATAATGTAGGCAATCATTATATCTATTCATATTTGAAATTTCACCCTGTATTATTGAGAACCAAGAAAGTTGTAGGCATTTAAAGTTTTAGCCAATCAGATTGCAGCACACGTGCATGTGCGTGCGTTCATGATTATTCTTATATATCATGCTGTAGATCTTCATAATGTAAGACTATGTTCAAAATTTCAAAGGATTTTGTCAGAAAACAAAATAGATATTTAGACTTTAAGTTTCAGCCAATCGCAGCGAAGGGCACCTGCATGCGCGTGAGATCTTGCTATTTTGACCATGTCATCATGTCTATACTACTATTATATCCTTATATTATGAGTTTCAAAGCATTTCATCCAATATTTAAAAAGTTACGGCTAAATCTATTATATTGATCATTTCACGTGTTACACGTGCGCGCACCTGCACGCACGTGCGCGCAAAATGACCTTCGTTCCGCACATCTACATAACATACCTAGTGACCCTAAAAAGGTTTCACCTAGATCGGATGAGTAGTTTACGAGAACACTCGCGGACAAAAAAGTACCGGAGAACAAAGAAAAAATTCAGAAAAAGTAAAAACAATATGTTCCCAAACTTCGTTTGGGGAACATAATAAGAAGAATAAGAAGAATAAGAAAATCGACAAAAACAATATGTCTCCCCTTCGGAAGGGGAGACATAACTCTGAATACTGTTAATAAACATGTCTGGATCACACTTTCCTTACCTGTAATTAATGGCCTGTTTGATGTACTCCACTTTATTTGCGGGAGTTATCTTGCTGTATTTGGCTGACAATTGTACCTCCTGACCAGAAGAGCTGGGGATACTGAAGGGCATCTCTACTGCCTGGAGTTTCTCATCTGTCAGATCTTTGATGCATATCAGACCTAAAATGCAAAATCAACAATACCATTCATTGACAAGCATTCCAACTTTTTCACTCATTAACTACTGACACCCAAAAACATCTTCCTACAGAACAATTTATACCCCCTTTACATCCCTAAAACTTTGTTCTATAAGATATATCACAATTTTTTTTTTTTAGATTTTATCTTAAAATTATACTTAGAAAAATTGACCAATTTAACAATTTGTGGGGGTGAAATTATACAATACCTGGGACACAGTCTTTGTCAATCTCTGCCAGGTCTGATATACTGAGGGGCATCCCAGCCACCTGTTTCCACACAGGCTCTGCAATGTTCAGACTCAGGGGACTACCACTTCTAATGGCTATCCCAAATAACACACCTACAAAATACAGGCATAACACTGATAAAGAGCTTACTTTAATGTAAATGAATGCAGAAACATCTTTTTTACTCTCTTTGTAATATTTCATCTATTGATTACATTTTTAAACAATAACTACTTTAATTTGAATGTGGTTTCATATCAAGGTAATCTATAAGCTTCCTTCTCAAAGAGCTCAACAATCTCAATGTACAAATAATTGGCCTGAAAACAATGATATCACGTAAAGAAAATAACTCATACCTAAGAATTTAAACATGTTGACATGCACTGGAGATTTGGCCATGGGATTGAAGATAAAACAGTCTCTGTTAGCCCCGGACTCTCCCCGTCCGTTGGGGGTGACGATGAGGAGGGGGAGGGACCCGTTCTGTAACTCGTCACACATCTCAGCCACAGACTCACTATACCCCCCTCCACAGTCATCTACA